TAACATTGTTTTACTATAAGAACATCATTTATATTGCTTTATACACCTGGATAGAGAGAGAGAGAGAGAGATACAAGCCAAAATCTAGTGTCTTGTACAAGGACACATGCTGTGTACATTGCCTGGGTTCTTGGACAAGACACTTCGCTTGTTTAAATTCCCTAAATAATGTACAGTACTTCTTTTGATAAGCTGATGTAAATTGTTTAAATATTTTCATTCATATCATGGGCTGTAATTTCAGGACTGACATCAGTCTGTGTAGATTTGCAGCAAAGCTTATAAACACAATCCTAAGTATGATCAGTGATAGTAGGGTCATAACACTTAACACAGACATCTTTTTGGTTTACAGTTCAATATTTTGTTCCAAATATAAACATGGTTGATATCAGTAGAAGTTTCTGGGTGTTCTTTCATTTAACCAACTGCATTTACAACTCTCATTTTAGGGACCAGGTCTACCAGGGTGTAATGGTTTCTGTAAATAATAAATAGACAATAATTATTTCTTGATAGCCACATTATACTAATGTCCTTGTAAATTATTAGCACTCTACAGTAATTTTTGAAGAACATCCCATTAGAGTAACTGAACCACAATACTGGTAGTGTATTGTGTCTGCTTTCAGTAGGTCATACATACTGTACAGCATTTGGATACATATATTATTTTTAAAAAAAAAACTATCTACAGTATCTAGGAAACAAAGAGCAAATTTTAAACAGAAAATTATTTTTTAAAATCTGAGATTGAGTTAAAATGTTTGGTTATTAGAATTAACATATTCACAGCACATAGTCAAACAGGCAAAATAAGCTTTTGATATTTAACTTACATTGTCATATCCCATGCTGATGAGTTCACCATTGATGACTGGGCTCTGTCAATGAAATAGAGTAGAACAAAGCTGTAAAGTAAACCATAATTTAACATTTAGAATTATTACTTAATAAAATAGTACAGTAATTATAATCATCATTTTTCCTCATACAAAAACTATTTATTCCATCAAATAGTTCAGAAAAATTGTTAAATTTTAAATTACAGTTTGAGAATACAAAAGGCGATAATAGAGGGCCACCACTGGTATACACCAGCCTCCTGCACCACTTTTTTAGGGTGGTGTACAGTGAGAAATTCAATCAATCAAGTGCCTATGGCTAGTAGGTAGGCCCTCTCTGGCGTCATGCTATTCTCTCTAGGCCCGTGTAAATTTGTTATCTGCTACGCTGTCATTGGTCCTCTTTCTTGTTAATGTTACAGTAGTGTTATACGATTAGCTAGCCTACCCTAGGCTAGATACCTAGCTACTTTAGACGGCCTAGGCCTCGTAGTAGTCTGGGACCCGGTGTTCCCTACAGGCTAGCTAGGCCTAACGTAACGGTAGCCGATCATTTCGGTCGCGCTTCATTTCGGTCGTGGTTTATTTCGAACAAATATATGGAGCGCCGAAGGAGTTGCGAAAACGAAAAATTTAATATGCCT